CTTAATAATAGTATACATTTTGTTTGTATATACTCAGCAATAGGAAGTAGTGCTCAACTATCACTCTTGTTTTCCAGAAATACCACCAAATCTACAACGGTTTACCGCTAGACTGCGTATAACAAGTATATAATAAATAATAATATGACGTATTACGTATACATTATCCACAAGGATATTTGATGTCGTACACACAGTCTACGCGCATCAGACTAGAAGGTATTTTTTGAATGGAAATATCAGCGGAAAAACAGATGAAAATACGAGGAAAAAAGAAGCATAAGCGAGTACGTATTTTTCTCGAATAAATACATATATATATATATATATATTATTATTTTCCGCAATATCAAAAAAAAAAATCTTCGGTCGAACACAGTGAAAACGCGCGGTGATAATCCTTTGCCGTTTCAGTGGTTAGGTGGTGGAAGAGGTGGGCCGAGGAAATTATATCGTATCCTTATATATTATGTATATATTGCAGTATACTATATAATAGATAATGTACATAATATACGTCATAGATACCGCAGCGTAAATATTATTATATTATATAGAATAGAAATGGAAGGTATAGAATTCGATGCGTGTTCAAATAATGAAGCTAGCAGCAAATAGAACTCATTATCATCCACTTCACCTTTCCAGCAGAAATAACCTCCACACCCTCTTCATTTACTGATTATTTTGATTGTTTGAAGTTCAACCCTAAATGAGTATAGGAGTGTRATATGGACGATATGGTATTTGAACAGGACCTGCAGCTATAGTTATCTGGCCCGCGGCATTGATGAGCACACACATAATATAAAAACGTCAAATGTCAAAACAACAAACGTTTGTTTTGGATGTGTGTGAAATTCGAGTTCATATGATTGATATTCGAATCAAGTTCATTTTAAAAGGGACGTTTAATTTTAAAATTATATCGAGATGTACAAAAATATATTTTGGGTACACGCATCTCATCTCTTGACACCATACCATCATCAACCGAGTCGTACTATTTATTCAGACGAAATCAAAACGTATATTGTGTGAACATAGAATATATTATTGCAAGTGGAAAGACCTCGGAATAGTGAACACACCATCCGTATAAATAAATATTGCAAGTAGCCATAKGTGTATTATAATTTAAATAAATTGTAATGTATACGATGCCTCCGTGTGAATGAATAAATGATAAAATCATCAAACCGATCGCTAAATTATGCGAATGCGTCGTATAGAAAATTTATTGTTTCGTCCCTGGCCCGACATCTTTG